CGGTAGACGGACCACTTGAACTCAGTCCTTGGAACCGGCACAAATTGGTGCTCACCTCAGAACTAAGCCTTAAAAAGAGGACGGGTCCGTCCCCTCTCCAAGGCTTAGTTAGTCCTGGGTGAGCAAACCAGCCTTCTGGCGGAGCTGCTGGACCAGCTGCACCACTTGCGTCAGTACTCTCCTATCGTACCAACCGAGTTGAAGTAAACCGTCGACCGTTGGGGACCCCATCCCCTCCCCAACATTCAGCATACGGTCCCAGCCGAAACGCCAAAAGGGCTGGTTTGCTTACCTCGAGTAGACGAGTAGAGTAGTAGTGTCTTGTAAAGAATGGAGCGATATGTAGGGCAGATTGCCCGAGTCAGTGCAACTTTCTCCAGATCGTGCGATGATGGAAGGCTGGATTTGGCAGCATATGTCCCATGAAAGGTGCTGCCTCCTCTAAAGTCTTAATACAAAACCTTTTAACTCATTCGCAGACTCTCTGAATCTGACAAAAATCCATGGGGGCGCAATGTGGCTCGGGGGGGGGGGGCACTCTGAGAAAAGTCATCTAGGACTAAGCCTAAACAGCAGGGACGAACTCCGGAGAATACGAAAATTGCTTCCGTACACCGGAGTTCCTCTCCTCTTCAAAAGCTTAGTCCTAAAACGGAGCGTTTCCGTGATTTTGACGCGATTGAATTAGTGATATGAATAGATAGGCTGATCTGATCGAGTCTCGGTTGACATCGTTGTGTGGAGCATTGCTGAAAAATCGCTTGTTAGAACGAAAAGCCTGTTTACATAGTGTTCTTCAAATGTGAATAGAATGTCGTTGTGAACATTCCACTAAGACTTGTGACACGTGGTTGCAACTACGTTCTTTATTGCGTACTGTTGCACTTCTTGACTGGTTTGGCTCTTTTCCAGAATTGACGATGTCACGCGTGCACTTTCGCCACCTCATGGACCCTCCACACCTCCATTCGACACGTACGAATCAGCGCCACGTCGAAATGTTCGCTCATTTCTTGATGAGTGAGTTTTTGTTTTTTTTTTCAGATGTTTTATCGCTTCATTGCACGACGTAATAATCGTTTCCATTTGTTCCACGCTTTCGGTGAAGTACAAGTGCCGTTCGGGTTTATTGCATGTGTCTGATCGACAGATCTGTTGCGGCGGCAGACGGAAGCGTTAATCGCCGCAGCACTGCGATAACGTTTTCGCAAAGCGGCAGACTTGTCGCAACCTCCTCACACACCGCAATGAGCGCGGGTGTTGTGTCGTGCAGCCGTCTGTTTCGCAATGATTTATGCTGATCAATTGATTCATTTCAACATCTTTATTACTGTTGGTGCAAGTACTGAACAGGTTTCTTTTATGAAATTTCAGCTTTTCCTCTTTCAATTGTAGTCGGCTTAGTCGGCTAGTGCGCTCGTCTCACCCTAACCGCAATTCATCTATGATATCTGCTTTCTAGCGAGTGTGTCGGCATCTTGTGTGAAAAAATATATATGCGCCAGCAGGTTTACACCGTGACGACGTCTCAAATGTCACATCACTTCGCACGTGACTTGATCCAGAGAAGTCTGGATTTTTTTTTGGTTCTCGACGTTTCGTGAAACTCCAATCTCCTCTATAGACCATTTCTCCTTTTATTTTACCTGAGTGATCAGTGCAGTCAGACAGCACGCAGCTGAATTGTTCGCCTGCATCAGTACGGGTGTGGTTCACTAGGACAGAAAGCGACTTTTTCGCGTTTCGCAGCGCGAAACATTTTTCGCTGCAGGAACCTCAGGTCCACCGCTGATCATGAGTGGACCTGGAGTTCCCGCAGCGAAAAATGTTTCGCGCTGCGAAATCGAAAAAGTCGCTTTCTGGCGCATCCCCATCATTACCCAATTCGAACTTCAATCATGGAGCAATTCGTACTAGTAGTAAATATTAATAATGTTTAACTTGTCACAGCAAAGTTGATGTCTTTGGAGGCGTACTTCCAAGTTTCCCATCTAGAAAGTCGATTCGCGCACCTGTCATCAGATTGATGTCATAGTGTACCGCTGGCACAGCCACCTGCCAAGTTTTTCTTTCCGTTTTGCCGACGTCTTATAGTGGGAACGAGGATTCGTGTTTTCCATCAGCTAACATATCTAATCTATGTCCTTCATATTCCAATGGATCCACACACACTCACACATTTCCGCGATGTCATTCATCTTCGACAGACAGCCGTTCCAACTTACACATTCCGGGATACGGGTTACTAAATAAACACGTCAGCATCGCTGTAGGCTTGAGAAGTTCTAATTCATCAATCACTTCTTTCTTTTCGAATGTAAACCAAGCTTTGGCTTTATATTATCTGTTTTCTGGTAAACCATAGTGTTGCAGCTAAAGTGAATCTTAATTTATTCTCTTGTTCTATCTTGGGTGTCTTGTAATGATTCTACCTTTTCTCACCCAGGTGATTTACAAAAAAAAATAAAAATTTGACGCCTCTCAGTGATTTATCGAAATGGATCGATATTTGGTACTTTCAAACATATTTCTTTTTTCACATAACTGTTGTTCATGGGTCTTATTGTGCTGGTTTTGGTACACTTGGTATGCCGTTCCTCGTTTCAAAAATTGGTTCTTCGCAGAACGCCGCGTAGTGCAGAGTTATGTTTTGCTGAAGTCCTACCCTTTTAAGCTTGTTCTTGAATTATTACCAGGCAAAAATCGTACATGGTGCCAATTCCATAGAGCCCGTGTGGAATTTTCAAGATTATTAAACTTCAAGTCGCAAAAGCTTCACGAATTCCCCGAGATGTGTATGTTTCAGTGGGCGTGACATAGGTATCGGTCTGTCGTTGCAAAGTCGTTTTTAAACTGCACTGTAGGGCGCTCATGTCGTTGGGGGGGGGGGGGACATTCAAGTGAGTGAGCCAATTGCTGTGCTTGGGACTAAGCCTTAGGCAGGGAAAGGGATTCTGGGGTAGGATGTGAGCAATGTATGTGTTCTCCCTGGCGTTTCTCCCCTCTCCTGGGCTTAGTCCAAGTGTCACCTACCATCGGCTCTGTGATGCCCACCCGGTTACAAGGCTTCTGTCAACCAGGGGTGAGAGTGTAGAAGGAAAAGCAGACGTTCTTTGTGGTAGTGGGACTAAGCCTTTTAAAGGAGGTAAAGAAAGCGGAGATTCTGTAATAGTGCGCTTGTGTGAGAGCTCCCAGACAGCACAACAAAACGCTGAATTGCCTAGCCTCACGGTTGACAGATGTCCGGAGACCATGCCCCGCCCCCCCAAGGACATGAGCGCCTACTGTAGATCCAATGTGAGATACAGTCTGTTACGGGAAGTGTGAACTGATTTTCTCTCACATGAGTATTTTTATGATGACCTCGCGTTTAACATTTGAGGATTGAGTTCAAATATGACAATACTGCGGCTTTTAGACTCTTCGACATCAATCGCTGTTTTGGTGCTCTGAGAAAAGCAAAGTAACAATTTGAAAATGATTTTTGTTCGGCATGTTGTAGTCGTAGACGTAAGTTTCAGTGGCGTCGTAAAATGTGCCGCTCACGTTGGACTGTAAGTGCAGAGCGCATGATACATGGGGCTTCCGAATGGGACGAGTCGTGGCCGTCGAAGAATGATAACGTATCTGATTAGAGTTCTCACCATGTCTGTGACTGCGCTTTATGAGTTCACAGCATTTTCGTCCGACTTCTGTGCCCTTTGTTATCATTCTCAAAATCGAAATTAGTTTTCTTTACAACGTTTTCTTTTTCCTGACCTCTTGTCATCGTTGCCAGATGGCTCATATTTCTTCTGCCCAATGACGTCATTGTTTCCTGCGCTGTGTGCATTCCTTACGGCATTTCATCGCATCTCAAACACCCGTTCTCGCTCTGCTGTACTCAGAGCGGCTGCGGTCAGTCACACACAGCGCGGACATGATGCTTACAATCATGACATTTTCCTTGTCGTTGCACTTTTCGCGCTATCATCTGAAAATCGTTTCCACTTATCGATCGTTAAGTGCTAAAGCGTTTGATTGGTGAGGGTCCTTTGTTCAGTGTAGCGCCCTTTACATTTGAAGCGCACAAAATTGTGCTTTTGGTTTTAATCTCGTATGCCTTTTCAAATCCATCTATCTCTTTGACAGTCTGCCCCACTCATTTTTTTTTTTTGATTATATGATTTTAACGTGTTATTTTCCAATGCTCCGCGTTATACAAGCAATCGGTTTCAGACCAGGAGCCGAATTTTTGTCCGTGGGTGTTCAACGATCGGATAGGGACAACTCGATTGGAAGGTTGTTATCGTTTTCCATGATTTAGCCCTCTCTTTCAACTTTCTTTCTATGATTGTGATTTTTAGAAATCGCTCACCGGATGTGAGTTCCAGACGAAAGCGGCGACATGACGATGACAACGATCGCGGTGATGAGCGAGACCGTGGTCGCGGCGGGTGGTCGGAAACGAACGAGCGTCGCGGTGGGCGCGATGACCACCCGCCTCACGCTGATGGCTTGGATAACAACCTAGAGGATCTCTCAAATAATCCGGCAGAACTGCAACGACGTTGCACTGCTCACATTGCGTTGAGTGAAAACCAGGTAGGGGAATCATACTTCTTTATCCAACTCTTCTCATGCTCTATCCGTGTTCTGTTGCGAAAACCGGCCTCCTATGGGATGCCCTTCTCCGAAAATCGAAGTCCAATATCGATCGATGTCGTTGTTTGTCAGAGGGTGGATAGTTTGTCTAAAAGCCGTTGAGAGAGCAGAGCACATCGTCTGCTTAGTGGTCGGCGTTGTTTGCGCTAACAAAGTATGCGAAAAGCATCGTTCTGAGTGCATTATTAGTTTAGCCTGGCGTAATCTCGTAGTTAACCTTCTGCTTGTGCACTCGTTTTTTTTTGCTGTTGACTGGCACAAGTGAAAACCACAGTAACCAACGGTTGTTCATTCATTATATTCTTTTTTTTTTGAAATCTGGCTTTTGTATCTATTAACATCTCTAAAGAGGTCAAGGATTATTTTCGGCAGGACCTGCGGAATTCTGAATTTGTTCGTATTCCTCGATCTCTGAAATTGACTTGCTTTCTATTCTCGGAGTGCTCCGTTTTTTGCTAGTTTCCGGACTCCAAGCCTTCCCTTTAAATTTATAACCAAGTTTTGAATTATGCATGTTTCGTGCAAACAGCACAATACGCTCCAGTCAGGCATCTTTTTCAAATGTGTTGAGATTTGGCAACTGTGCACGTATAAAAATTGTTGTTAAAATCTCATCAATATTCAAATAAACCTCTCAGTTGAGTCTGAAAAACCGTTTCAAGATCGCTCTTCTCGTATCTGCTGAGTAAACTAGGGGAAGCCAGCTGGCTGGTGGCACACATCCTTCAGCGCCGGTGTGTGATAAATAGTGGTAACTTGATCCGTGGCACCGTTTCACAAGTTTTCAAAATCCTAGCCTATGAAAGCATTTTTCAATGTGTGTGAATGCATCTAATAATGCCGTGATAACTGTTTTGCTTCTTTTTCATTCATTTCCTATAGCAACTTTCATGTTTTGAAGTATACTTTTTAACACAAGCAACTTGAAGCGTCAGCTGTTTGGCTGTTTGCGACCTAACTATCAGTGAGGGCTTTGTTTGCGTAGCTTTTCAGTCTGACATGGTTGTCAGAGAAGACTAGCTAAGGTCGTTTAATCATTGCAAACCGATGCATTTCTTCAGGCTGCCAGTGTTAATGATGATCAGCTGCTCAGTGCGGTCACCGAGGCCCTATACCTGCTCACTAATGCGCAACGACTGTGCAAAAAGCGCGAGAAGTTGCTCAAGTAACACTTCAGAGTTAACTTATATTCCTATTCCTTTGCCCATTGAGTTGTTTAGTGAGATGAAGGCGATGCGACAAGGAGAAGTAGATATGATGAAAGTGATACACGCTGATTTACCAGCTCATCTGCAATCGGTGGTGAGGATTGAAGGAGACAACGTCTTCATAAATGAATCGGGTATGTGCGAGGTTTTTCAATTACAAACAAAACAATGAGAACCATTGGTTTCCAGGTCTTGGTGGTTTGCCGGCTTCGACAACTGCCGCCCCGCAGTTCACCCAGTTTCCCCCTTCTACTGTTCCTCCTACAATGTACATTAAGTGGGTTTGCATCCTTGTTACTATACCGCTTGCAAACGTGAAATACAAGATCCATGTTCTAGCCCGGGCACGGCGCCACCCGTCGGCATGTCTTCATTCATGGTACCTACTACTATACCACCGATGATGCCCTCAAAATCCAATGTTCCAGGCATCCCTCCTCCCATGCCATCAGGTAAGCTAGAAGGTACCCAATATCTTTTCGTATTAGTTATGTACAAATAAACCTTTTTAAAGGCATGCTTGTGCCAGGCATCGAGACGTCGTCGGCATCTGTATCGGTTCCTCCACCGGCTAAGTCTGTGTCTCCTGATCTGGATCCTGGTGCGGAGTCGATGGGTTCTTCATTTATGCCGTCAACGTTCTCCCATCCACCTCCTCCCATTTCGTCAGGTCCAGCACCCAGTGCCCCTCTTCATGTTCGCCCTGTAAGTTTTGTTGCCATTTTGGGAAAAAATGAAGGGCAACTTTGATTTACTTCCCTATCTCATTAGGAGTCAAGCTCAGCCAGCAACTTTTTATAGAAACAGTTTATCTCACTTCATATTTTTGAATCCATGCATATTTGTTTTCTGAAATGGTCCTTCGATATTTGCAGTCGTCTCCCAATGCAGCCGTTTCTGGTCTACCCGATTTTTCCAAGCCTCCACCATCAATGCGTCCTGTCAATGGAACGGTATGTATGCAAATGAACATGATTCACATTTTACAGCAAGCAAAGGCCGCTCGCTCGTTTCTTTTTGTTCCCAAAGCTACGGTCGAGATATGTCGCGATATTATTATACCTGTATTCGTTCGGTTTGCGTCTGTCAGCAAACACCGTTCACAATGCGCATCATTTTTCACATTTATGAGTTAATCGATTGGAAGTGATCAGTAAAGTATGCGGGTTTTTAGTCAAACGGTTCACTTCCGAAGACGGCGTCAAGTAATGCCCTGCCTGACGTTGCGGTAGCACCGAATCGAAGTAGTGCTCCGCCAGCTATGGCTTCTGCAACAGTCCCTCCGCCAAGTGCTGCCCCACCACTTAATTTCAATGTGCCACCGCCGAATGTTGCAAGTGGTTCCGGTGGGTCTTTACACTCATTTATTGCACTAAGTACTCTAGTTTTGATCATAAGTTGTTTCGTGTTGCAGGTACTGCAAGAGCCCCTTATATGCAACCATCGAGTTTTCTTGGCCCTCCGCCAGGTAAGTGTTTCAAAGGACTTACGGTATCATCGACACGTGTAGTAGAAAGCCATAGTAATCGTTTAGGCACGTCAAACCCCGCACTTGCCCAAGACTTCACTAAGACAATTACGAATATGATAACGTCAGCGCTGAAAGCTCCTGCGGTAGGAGTTCTGAGTCTTCCAAAATGTACTTCACGCAATTAATGTTTTTTAGAATGCGGGTGTCAACGCGTTTGGTGCACGACCTGGCATGAGAACATATGTTGGTCCAGGTATGAGTTTAATGGGTAATGGTCCACCTCCGCCGAACATGCATGACAATGGTGGCAGTGGTGACGGAGATTGGACGAGCAATCGCCGAGGGTATCAGTACCGAGGCAAATCCAATTATGGCAAACGTCAAGGGAATGATCGGCGAGGTTTGTTTTAAATGTTTTCTAATCAATACCCTTTTCAGCGTCATCGTAGGTTACGGAGCATCGCGGTGGGAAGTACTTCAAACCGCAAAAAATACATCGTTTTGTTGAAAACCACATCTAAGTTGAGTCCGAGAACATGCCCCGTATCTTACGACAGCGTCCACCTTTATAGCTATTATAGCCACCTTATACGATGGCTCTCATAGGGTCTTGGGTCTAGTTTCGCTTGAAAATGAGTACATCTTACTGTGCGGGAATCGACTGTACAGTAATTGGTTGTTCTTTGACCACCCAACATATTTTCCTCATTCCTTAAATATTTCCTTTCTCATGTGAAAGGTCACGCCTGCACTTTATGTGGCTACATACAAACTTTACAATTCGAAGCGTACTGTTGGCGCGTGTGCGCTTTCTCAGAAAACATGACTCAGTGCGTGATCATATGCACTTAGTTGTATTTCACCTTTCATGCTTTGAATTTCTTTTCCAAATAACATTTTTTCACTTTCTCTCTATACAATATCCATAAGTAGAAATTATAAAGGGTCTCATCCAGTAAGGGGGGGGGCATTGTGATGCAACGTCAAGTGGCTGCCCTCACCCCCACCCCCTAGACTGCCTTCACTCCCCCTGGCTCACGGGGTCCCGTACTTCGAGAAACCTGTGCGCCAGGGGGAGTGTAGGCAGTCTAGGGGGGGTGGGGGGTGAGGGCAGCCACTTGATGCCCCCCTTACTCCCCCGATGAGAGACCCATTATAAATTCCTTTTGCAATCTCACAAGCTGAAAAGAAAGCTACTACTAGGTTGAGCAATAATTATCCACCATTTTCATTTCACTCATAAGTTTATTAACAAAACCAAACAAAAACAACAATAAATGCGTAATCAACAAACGCTCTCGAACAGTCCTCTCTGCAACCGTGCCTTCATCCCAGGCTTCATTGATTCGAGCAGATGCAGAAGCATTCCGGTTTCGAGCTCAACTTGCACTTTTGTAGTAGGGGCACTCTCTTTTGCTAGTGTGTAAGCTCCATAGTGAAGTACCCTCCCCTTCAAAAGCGAGAAAGTGTCGGGTGCAGACCATGCACCACAAGTGACGACGGCCTTCACAAAATGTTAATGTTTTCTGCCAATGAAATGATTAGCCTGTTGCAGTTGTATTCTATCAGTTGTCACTAATTACAACTATCATTTACCAAAATCAGCTATCACTATGAACAACTTCTAACCAGATTTACTTGGAGGCCGTCGTCAGTTGTGGTGTTTGGTCTGCACCCGACACTTTCTCGCTTTTTGAAGGGGAGGTTAATACACAGGTGTTCTACATCAAAATGTACAAGAGATTGAGCGCTTTCAGACTACATCATAACCTTTGAAAATAATCAGCAAAAAATCAAAGAACCATGCCTGAAAAAGAACGGCGGATAATTATTGCTCAACCTAATACCATGCTATAGCTATATACGCCGCTGTTTTTCTGAACTGTTCTTGTCTATGGTAGAGTGTTTCAATTCATTTAAATTAAGGTTCCGGTTAATCTTATATAAGCATTTTTAATAAGCTATTCTCCATGCTGGAATTTGTTCAGGAAACTACGGCTGAAAGCTTGGGCATACCCACGACTTCAATGAACATCTTATGTTTAGTCCAGTTTTGATAAACAGTGCTTATTGGCTGGAAGTAAAATATAGAGGGGTCGTTTGATCAAGCCTTCAAGCTAATTTCCACCGTGGTAAAAGTTTTAAAGAAAATTGTTTATTCGTGTAGTGCAGGAACCCTCTGATTAAGCTCGTGCAAGGTATATACCCTCGCCTTCAAATGACCAGAAATTGTGCAATTGCAGAAATTGACGTGGCATTAACGTGGCATCGATTCAAGAACATCTTTGAGCACACGTGATGTCACCTTTTCATCGAGAATTTAGCC